CTTCTCCAAACACACTTTGCACCCTTGCTGTTCTTATTAGCACTAATTTTCTTAGCTGGACATTCATGTATCTTATGTCCATTTTTACCACAATGAAAACACACATGCATCTCTTTAGTCATGACATACTTGCCTCGTTGATATTCTTTGATCCAGGTGGTTTCTCTGGGAGACCAGTTAGTCCTGGTTCTCTGTCTAGTATAACCGAGACCAACTTTTCCTCTGTTTCCTCTTGATGAAGTCAGGTAATTTAAGGATTTTTGAGCATTCAATAATTTGTCCACATGTCTATGACTATCATTAAGTTCTTTTTCTCTGGTTTCAAGTGTCTTAGTCAACAATTCGTTTTTCTCTTTAAGAAAATCAAAGTTACTTTTTAAAGCTTCGAATTGTAGATTAAGCTTTGAAACCATACGGTCAATAGACATGTCAACAACCACTGGTTGCTTGTCCTTTTTCAGTTGATTGATTTCCGCATGCAAATCACAAATATTACTTTCATACTTATCAATCATATTACTGACATCTACACTGGTACCTGTAGGGGAAACAGTGAACTGTGCAGCTTTAAGTGAAGCAATTTCCTTGTGAGAATTTTCCAGGTTGTAAGCCAATGTTTCAAAGGCCTTCAACAAGGAAGTTCTAGTACATGAATTTGCTTTACTTATAGCTACTGAAAAATCAAGAGTATCACTAGTGGTTGATAAGTCTCTAGGGAACCAGGAGGTCAGATCCTCTTCACCATCAATTGGTTCAAACGATCTTTCCTTTTCTAGTTCCACTTTACACTTGTCCAATTCAACGTTCTGCTACTTGATTTTTTAGTTCATAACAGACTCCTTCTAGATGATCACAGCTAGCAATAGCAATATTACATTCACCACTTTTATCTTTTAATTCTCTTTTGCAAATTATGTATGTTTCACTTAATTTATAGCATTCATCTAGTAAGGAATCAATACAAGCAAGCATATTTTCTCTATCATATTCATGCATATCTTCTCTAATTTGCTCTAAGCTTACCTTGCGTTCATGTAGTACATCCTTCTTTGCCATAAAGCATTTGTTGAATGTACTGGTTCCCCCTCTGGTTCCTGGACCAGTGTTGTTTTCCTTGATGTTTGTAAAGGCAGTTAGGCAAACATCTGAGTTGGGTGATCCTTCTTCTTCATCTGACCCTGAGTCAGAGTCTCCCCACATGGAAGCTATCATGGCATTCTTGTATGCTTGTTTATCTCCGGATTTAGACTGTTTGTCATTCCACTTAGGACAATCTCGAATAAGATGTCCTTTTTCTCCACACTTGAAACATCCTGTAGAAGAAGAATTAGAGTTAGATTTTTTATAGTTTTTAAAATGCTTACCTTTGAAATTCTTTCTTTGATCTCGAAGAGATCTCTCAAATCTTTTTGCAATCATGCTAATTTCATCTTCATCATCTTCTACTGTTCCCTTAAGCGCCATGCCTCTTGCTGGTTCCTTCTCAGACTTAGAGTCAATCAGCATCTCATGAGTCATAAGGGAACCAATCAGCTGTTCCAGAGACAAGGTAGACAGATCCTTTGCTTCGTATACTGCTGTTACCTTGGCTGTCCATGCATCTGTTAAACTACGCAATAATTTTCTCACAAGATCCTCGTCAGATAAATTTTTACCAAGAGATCTAAGATCATTTACAATAGTCATAAACCTACGAAAGCAATCATTGATTTTTTCATTTTTATTCATGGCAAACAATTCATATTTAGACATGATTAAATCAATTTTAGACCGTTTTACCTCACTGGTTCCCTCAAACGCAAGTTCAAGGGTGTCCCATATCTCCTTAGCACTACTGCAGCCAGATATACGATTTGTTTCGGTCTCACCTATTGCTTGTTGTAGTATTGACATTGCCTTAGCATTCTTCTCCAGCAACTTGTGATCAGCAGTGACCAATTCGCTATCTTTCTTGGGAACCTGGTTCCCCTCAACATCTGTCTTGAGAATGATATTAGGACCATTTTTAACTACGAGCCAGCATTCATAATCAATACCCATGATAACATTCTGGATCCTGTTCTTCCACCAAGCATAATTATTTCCATTAAACTTGGGTGACTTGTTGTCATAACCGATTGCACTTAATTCTTGAGTACTCATTCTTAACTCCTCTAGATGTTACTCTTTCGAGAAGCTTAGGCTCTGATACCAATTGAAGGTTCAATGGGCACTCAAGAGGGGGGGGGGGGGGGGTGAATTGAGTGTTAAGTAATCGTTAGCGATTTTTGCTTCTTTTCGGATTATGTGTAAGGAACCAGTTGTGCTGGTTCCCTTATGCAGCGGAATAAAACAAAGCAATAAAGAACACAACAAATTTAACGAGGTTCAGCCAACTCAGGCCTACGTCCTCCTATCCTAAGTCCTTTATTAATCTACTCCGAAAAACAAAGACAAAGAACACTCTACTGTTTCCCTACTCCGGGAACCAGTCTACCCCACACTCTACTCCGAGTGTGCTCTCGACTTACACTCGTAAGCCCAATGTGTTTGAACTCACAAACACTCACCCAGCCTTTAACCCCTTTGTTAAAGACTCAATACAAGAATCAAGAACTCTCCTTTGATCTCACTTCTACGAAGCTAATTAAGAGAAAATGTTTTTGTACTAGAATGCTCTTGTATATGACTTGATGAATGGGATTAGTGCTTAAGTATATGCTCTCAAATAATTGCTCTTTTTAATTTCTGGAGAGGCACACGAAATATGTGAAATAAGATGAGTTTATATAAGCTTAGATTCCTAAAACCTAGTTTCCTTAAATCACACAATCTTAGAGAATAAGATATATTGTAATTTTAGGAAAGTATTTATCTTATTTGATTTAATCACAAAGATAGAATCAATTAAGATAAATACTCCTAGTTTTTAGGTAACCAAGAATATTTCATCTTATTTCCAGCTGCACAGAATATTTTCAAAATAATCTTTTCGAAAAAATCTTTTTGTAAAATCTTTTTCCAAAACGGCAGCTCGAATATTTCGTACAGTGAACCTGGTTCCCTGACCTGGTTCCCTGAATTGAAACATGTTATGAAACCTGTTCCAACTTTGTACCAGATTTCATATCATACTTCAATATACTTTTAAGCACTTATATAACCCAAACATGCAAGCATACTACGGAGCATATTACATGAAAACCTAGATAACATATTAAAGCATAAATCGTCTTTTCTTCATGTAATCTTCAAGACTTGAATCTTCCTTGAATACTTCTATTATGAGCAAACAATCTTTCTTCGAAATATCTTCGAAAGGCTTCTATGCTCCAAGTCTTGGAATCAACTCAACTACTGCACATGTAACATGGTTAATGCACAATAAAGAGTATGTGACTGCTTTTCCGCATAGCAGTCAAGGAAACGGTTCATACTGGTTCCCCACCAGTACATAGCACATTTATCATCTAACTGTTTCCTGTATATAGATAAGTTAGTTCAATAGATAACTCATATAATCAATAACTTATCTAGGAAAACAGTGTTCTATTTTAGTTGGTTCCCCCAACTGTATTGAACACTTTCAAAGACCTGTTTCCCTTAGCTGTTTGTCATCATTCAAAACTATCAATCAAAACCTAAGGGACTCAACAGATGGTGAGCACTACGAAGACATGTTGGCTAATTTACAAAACATGAAGATACCCTTCAGTGGTGAAGAATGCTTCGGGCAATACGTAGATTTACACGAGTGCCACAACAGGTTTATTAATTCTAAATTTGGTTGTGATGGCTGTTTTTGTTATTATTATTTTCTATGATTGGCTTTATCTTTAGTGCATCACCACTAAGAAGAATACGATAAAATCAACGCATCCATTATATATAAAGGACACTCATGTAAAATCATGTCATTACTCCTATAAAGGGTTGAAAGTTTTCGGATAATGTGATTAGTGACAACTAATGTGGTCACGTGGACAATCAACTAATTTAGTTGATTAAAGTCTTGAGGGATAAAACTTAAAAACAGGAGATCGAATCCCTTCACCATTATAAAGACATCTAGAGAGGTATTTAAGAACAACTTGAATGCTTTTACCTTAAAAAAAATACAAAAAGAACAACTTGAATGCGACAATTTTCTTATTTAATTTCCCTTTTACTCTGTATATGTCTAACCTTTGAAAGGAAAAAATATTATCCAATTCAACTACACTCATTGTAATAGGGTAAGCCGGTATGACTCAATTGTAATTTTTGTGAATCTATGTAAATGCTGTATAGATAGTTTTTGACTGACGTCTTCTCGTGAAAAGAATTTTTAAAGAGAAATTTGCTGTGCTGTTTTGCTTACTACTGCCTAGCGATAATCTTTACAGGAGTTTTTACATTGCTATAACAAGTCATGATTGGCGGCTATTTAAAAAGAATTAATGTTTTAGTCTATTTCTGATTCAATTGTGCATGTGTATGTCCATTGTTACACTTTGGGAAATATTTGTTTCTGTGCAAGTTGTTAGTATTGGACTGATAATAACCCTTGCCTGATTGCTAGCTACCAAATCAGCTCGGTTAAAATCCGAATTTAGTGAGCTCGTGTCAAGCTCAAGCTTGGTCTGAGACCGTAATGTACTAAGGCGCTAAGTTGCGCACCACTGCACCACTTTGCTAGGCATTGCTCATGAGCTGGAATCTATGATTGATTGTTTGAATTTAAAGAGTAGATGAGATATGATTAAAAAAAAAAAGGATTTTACAAACTGACTATTCTGATCATCCCTCATTCTGAGCTTCTGACCAGGTGATGCTGTTGTGTGATTATGGTTCTGTTTCTTGTTTCAAAATGACTATTAAGTTCACAAAGTCTAGGGTTGTTTTATTTTAGAGCCATGCACATGCACAAGCACAAGCCTTAGAATGACAAGTAGAAAACTCTCATGTTCATTACAATGTACTATTATCTTACTGTCTTTGGTGATAAAATTACGATGTGTAATCGGGTACGATTCTTGTAGCTTTTTACCAGAATGAAGCTGAGGTTGGGGAGGCACTTGCTGAAGCAATTCAAGTTGGGCTTGTCAAAAGGGAGGATCTTTTCATAACCACTAAGGTTAAGTGAGGACAAAATTTCTTATTTTGGGAGGAACTTTGATCATCAGATGACATTTAAACTCACTTATCATGTATAATTTTATTGCAGCTGTGGAGCTCTGACCATGGACATGTACATGAAGCGTGCAAAGACAGTTTGAAGCAACTTCGACTTGATTATATGGATTTGTACCTAGTTCACTTACTTGTAGCCACAGAGCATACTGGTAAAATTCAAATTCTTGCCTCTTGAATGATGAATTGCAATTTTCTTTTGGAAGTGTATGAGATGGACAAAAGCAATATTCATAGAGTCATAGTCTCATACTTGTATATAAAGTATGTAAATGTTCAGGAGCTATGCATGTCTACTTGTCTAGGATTTTACATGAAGACTTTTTTGATTAATATCCTTAAGCCAGTAGTTGCTTTGCTCATATACTGACATACTGTATTATATGTTTTGAGTTTTGGCGCTTCAAAGTCACTGAAAAAGCTGATACCGATAATATTCTTCTCTTGTGGATTTCAGATCATGTAGGAATAATGCAAAAATTTGTTTAACTAAGATATGGGGCTGCTTCTGTGCTGGCGTGCTGCTCCTTATATGCGCTGCTGCTGCTGTTCTGCGCTTCTGCTACTGTGTAGCTGCATATTTTTTTTACCTTGTATTTTATTTTAATTTTTTAGACAAAAATTGTAATATTACAGCATTTTTTTTATGAAAATATGTAACTTTATATATATGTTAGTGTTTATTTATCAATTTAAGTGAAAAAAATGCAAAAAAAAAAAAAAAAATTAATTTTTTTTTGCCATCAATGGCACCGGTTTTGAACAGGAACCGGTGCCAATAACCCCATAAAAAAACCGGGAAAAGTTATTGCCACCAGTTAATCGGTGGCAAAAATATATATTGCCACCGGTTAACCGGTGGCCATACTTGTTTTTGCCACCGGTTTTGAACCGGTGGCTTTGCATTAGACTATTGCCACCCCCTAAATGCCCACCGGTTCAAAACCGGTGGCATAGGGGGGTTTTTCTTGTCCCTAAGCAAAGCAATGAATAATTAAATCAATATTTCACCCCTAAAATAAAAAATTTTAAATCAATAAATATAATTCAAGGTAAATCTGATAAACATGTATCAAAGTCAACCAATCAAATCCATCCAACTACCAATCTTCCCTAACAATTGTCAAATAGAGCAAACCACAAGAGCATATAAAATTCAAGACTAGTGATCAAACACTCAACTCTCATTTATGTGGCGAGTAAAAGATGTACTCGATCGCTCTCCAACCAACCCCTTTAATGTGAACAATGCCCTCCCAACTCACACTCTCGTGTGTATAAAAAGATGTACACTCAACCTACTAGTCGACTTGAAATGTGTCAAATCATAACTTGCATTGATAAACAACACTTCACATTCATACAACTCTAAGCACAAAGGTCGGAAGGTCTTTAAAGCTTGTAATGTAAGGTTAGGGTAAAGGGTAGGATAAAATTGGGAATAAGTGAGAGAAAAGCTATGCTTAAAGGGAACAAATCCTAATAAAACCCATGATAAAAATAAATAATGATCAACATCTCCAACACAGCCAACTCTACAAAAGTTCACCAAACAATCCCATACATAACAACAATCCCAACACTTACATATTCACTCACAAAGTATGATAATAAGAAATAGAGTGAATTAGAACAAACTTTAAACTACTTATTTTTTTCTTTTCTCTTTTTTTTCAAACTTGAACTCTGTATTTTTTTTTTCCTCTTCTTCTTGAGCAACCTTCAAATAGAACATTTGAATATATGAAACAACCTTTTTTTTTATTTTTTATTTTTACCTCATATTGGAAATTTTCAACTTTTGAACACTTTTTCAATTTTTTTTCCAATCAACATATAAGAACAAATAACTCATCATATCAACCCACATTGTGCGAATTATGTGCACACTACAACTCCCTCACCTCACTAACTATTAGCTCTCCCAAGCCAAGCTTGGGACTAGTAACCAATGAGGCTTAAATAGGCTTGTAATGTGGTTAAATAAACAATAAAAGGGCACAAGCAACACCATGGGTAGTAAGAAGGGAATAAATGTATCTAATAGTCCGAAGACCACCTAATAGAATAAACGTCTTCGTCCTCCTCAATGTACATAATAATGAGTCATATAAACATTACTAATAGTTGCAAACCAATACTCAAATTCCTTGACATACCGGGAACTATCACACATTCCTAACCAAATCAACTAGTCAAGCACTATATTCACAAATAGTTGTCAAAATTGACTCATGTTAAGGTTTCAAGACAATCAAATATAAAATTATGATCAACTAATCCACAATGCTTATCATCATGTACCAAGAATCAAAACAATATTTTTTCAAGTATGGGGCACAGGGAAGCATGATTCATAATTCATTGGAATGTATTTTTGGATTTTTTTTTTAATTTTAAAGAAATAAAAACTAACTTATAAAAGCAATAAAATCTATACTAAGCACACCAAGAAAAATAAATAAATAAAAAGAGAGAGTGAAAGATATACCATACGAACACACGAGAACCTCCCCCCAAGCTAAATTAGACAATGTCCTCATTGTCTTAAAGGGAAGCTAGTAGTCAAGGTGACTACTCTTCATCATCACCACATCAATGTCACCAAAGCCTCGAGGATTGCAATGCATCTCTTTGAAACAAAATTGGGCAAGAAAGAAACAAAGTATTAGTGGGAAAAAGTTCAAATTTGAGTCAGGTGCACTATTCTGATCATAACTTTTGATATATAAATGATAATACAGTGATTCTAATTTCATTGGAAACTAGACTTGAAGAGCTTTCCAACGATAGGTCACACTTCTAAATAGAATAAGAAACGCAAAAGTTATGGCCTGTCAAATTTGACAAAGTTTGCTGATGCGTACGCGCGCCTGATCGGGCGAGCTCTGCCCGATCGAATACTAGTGCAGTTCCAGCGTGAATGAAGCCTTCTCAAGCTCAAAATCTGCAAAAAAACAAACTCCCACAAGCATTAGTCACACTCTCCTTACCTCTCTACAAGAAAATAAATAAATAAATAAAATAAAATACACACACAAAAATAAGAAAAAAAAAAACTAAAAAGCAAAAAAGGTACGGGTTGCCTCCCGCAAAGCGCTAGTTTATCAAGGTCCCGCTCGACAATACTCCTTCTCTCAATCGGAAGAATTCAACGCCTTGAGTAACTTATCAAACGCTCCTGCAAACATTTCATTAAACACTATATAGGGCTTAATTGCAAGCACATTAATCCCTACAAAGAAAAGGTTAGGAGCACATAAAGAGAACTCAAGGTAGAAGGAAAAATCAAAAGATAGAGATGAAAATACACCACAACTTCTACTTTCTCCGTTAAAAATTTAGAATTAATAGAACGAACATGGAGAAAGTCATTGTCTTTATCATCCAATAATGACTTTAAAATTGTACCCTCACAAATAACCTCATCATCAACAAAGGAATTATCAACCACCGTTTCTACAACTAATGATTTTCCAATCACCAATTCATCAACTAATGATTTTTCAACCACAAATTCTATAACGGGTTCTTCATCCTCAATAACATTTGTATTATTATAGTGTTCGTAAACTTTTTCATCAAGAGCCTTCCAATAACTTTCATTAGCAACTAATCGTTTCCGAATATGATCATATGTATATGGAAAGACTCTAAAATCATCCGGAGCACGCACAAAAAACTCACTATAAGGGCATTCAGGATTTTCATGACAAAGACGTTGACAACTACAGTAGTTAGGTGCTGCATAAAAATTATATAATTCTTGTATTGACGTAAGCATGGATATTTTCAACTCATAAAAAAATAAAAAATAGAATAAAATAAAAAAATAAAACAAAATAATCTAGACTCTAATAATAATTAGAAATAAAAATAAAACCGTTTCCCCGTCAACGACGCCAAATTTTGACAGGGTAAAGTCGTATCCCCAAATCAAAAGTAATTCCTAAATCCTCTAACTAATGTAGATAGGGAAGTAGGGTCGAATCCACAGAGAAACGAGTCTTTCTATTCCTAATTAATTAATATAATCTAGATTATAAAGTAACCAAAATATAATGATCGAAGGAAACTAAACTACGAAGAGTAAAAGTGGGAAAGAATAAAAGTAGGAGGAAAAACAATGAATAAAAGGCCTAGGGCATAGGTTCACCAATAAATAATATTCCAGGGTAAAACATAATAATCAATCATCAATGCATACATTAATCAGATCATAAAGGGCTTTCGCTACGTATTACAATCACACAATTAATTTACCGGTATTAAATTTCATCTCTCGAAACTCGACTTAACCATTTATAAATTAACCTGCCTATTGAAACTAGACCTAAAAATTAATTCTCATCTTTCGAATCTCGAATCAATATTGTTAAACTCATGCATAAAAGATCTGCGCAAATCTAGTCACAGAGCATTAAATCAATCAATAGGAAATTAATCTAGCATTGACAATTAATAACAATAAATTATCCCTTTATATTATTTATGGATCCCCACAAACCCTAGAAATAAAACTACTTACACATAATTAAAACTAAACTAAACAAAACAATTAAAGGAGACATGATTTAAAAGCAATAAGAAATATAATTAGATAAAGAGAAAAATAATCAAAGAATAAAACTATTATTTACGTAAAACAAAGAAACCAAGAACTAAAGTCAAAGCATTAAAAAGGAAGATTCATTCTAACTACAAAACAAAACTAAAAAGTAAAAACTAACTAATGAAAAACTACCTAACTCCCACGTAACTCCCTCCTTAAATAGCCAAGTTAATGGTCTTTTTACAAGTCCCACTAAGAATAGAACTCTAAAGCAGAACCGACATTCTTGCAGAATATTCATCCGGTCGGGCCCGCCATTTCACATGCCCCAACAATCTCTTGTATGCTTGGGCTGTAATTATTTGGCCCAATCTCCTTCTTCTTGATATCCAATTATTGGACTTGTAATAAAATTAATACCCCTTAATCATCGAACCAAATACCTTTAACTCGGTCTTGGGCTTAAAATATATAGTCATAAAATACGATCCGACTCCAATGTCTTTGTAGTGCCTCAATAAGTTCGGGAATTATCATAATTCTGCAAATTCCTACAAAATAATACCAACTCTACAAAAACACTAAAAAACGTATATTAGTCAAAAGAGGAAAGCTAAGAAGATAATGGCAACTCAAGAAGAAGTCAACGAACTCAGGAACCAATTGACTGATGTGACTGAGGTGTTGAAGGCTTTAACCCTCAAAATCAATGACCCTATGAAGCAACAACAAATGGAGCTCATGCAAGAGAGCTTGAGCAAGCTATCTAGTGACTACAAATTCCAAGGCATTAGTTCACAAGGGGTCTCGCTGGACAAGGAACTTCTTCTGCATAAGTTCAATACCACTGACATCCCTAAATTCAAGGCAATAGATAATCCTTATCTTCACTTAAGAGCCTTTGAAACTATAATGAACATTAAGGTGATTGATAAGAAAGTCTTTCATTCCTTGTTTTCTTTATCACTTGAAAATGTTTGTCAACAATTGTTCTTTTCTCTTGACAAAGAGAAAACCTTTACCTGGGAATCGATAGTAAACGCTTTCATTGATAGATACAAGTGTAACATTCGAGTCGAAACCGATTATAGACAACTTGAA